GGAGTCCTCTCCATAGGGGCCACACCTGAGCCTGGCTCCTTGTCCTGCAGAGCCCTGCTTCCCTTCCCAAGTGACACCCCTGGGCACAGCCCTCTAGGACTAGGGGCCTTCACCCTCAGGCCGACTGACCACCCCCTACAGCCCAGGGCAGCTGAGTTCCTGCTGGGGTGGAGCATGCCTGACCCTGCTTCTACCAGCTGATGCAGAGTTAGACCTCAGCCAGATGAGGACAGCAGTCACCCAGCAGTGCGGAGTAGGGGGTCAGATCGGGAGGGAGCTTCAGTAGGGCTACCAGGTCCAGCTTGACCTGCATCCCATGGCAGAGCAACAAACAGTGACACAGACTTTAGAGCTCCTCCACCTTCTGTTGGAAATTCAGAGGAGTCTAGACCAGCCCCGTTTCTCCTCCTGCAGCCGTCAGCTGGGGCCCTCTCCCTGTTCCCTGGTGTAGGATCCCCGCTGGCCTGCACCCCTCTCTCACTGGGAGTGAAGCACGGGGCATTGTAGGACCCTGGAACCTATTTTACAGAGCAGCAGACTGACACCGGAGGGATCACGGGACTTGCATGTGGTTCTACAGGACTTGTGTGTGGCTCCACAGGGCAAGGTCTAGCACCCTGGTCTCAGGGTCCCTCATCCCATGCTTCTCCACAGTTCTCACAGATCATGTCTGGGGGTGGCACTGTGCAGGGAAAGCATTCAGTTCTCTTCTGAAGTTGCAACCGTAAGACTCACTTTAGAAATACTGCCTCCAAAATCACACCTGGAATGGAGGCATGTGGGAAGCAGTTTATTGGCCTAAAACATCAATGTATGTGAGCATCTCATCTCCTATTGATAAATGAGGAAAAATACCTCTGGGTTAAATGAGAGGAATGAGATGCTCTGTGGACTGAATGCCAGGAACTGGAAGTTTGCCGGAATTTCATCATCACATGAGAGCCTTCCTAGAATAGATCCAGTGTCCCTGCCCCCTGGGTCATAGGTAGCAGAATTCAGTTAATCCTTGGCATTGGCATAGAGAAAACAAGTTACCAGGGAGGCCTGGGGCATGGCATCCCTGCCAGCTGGCAGGAGGAGGTGGCTTGTGTGCCTTGCAAGTGACAGTGTGGGTAGCTCGTGAAGGTAGGCTTGAAGCCCCAGGCAAGCCCAGTGACCCAGTCACAGTGAAGTGCCTGTGTGTGTAAGAAACTGACAGAGCGTGCCGTCCCTGCCTCCTGCTCTTTCACATGTGTAGATCGTAGCTGGGGTGAACTACTTCTTGGACGTGGAGTTGGGCCGAACCACATGTACCAAGACCCAGCCCAACTTGGACAACTGCCCCTTCCATGAACAGCCACATCTGAAGAGGGTATGTGCCTCATGTGGGTCCAGGGCCAGTCATACACTGCAGAGGGGTGTGTGTGTGCGTGTGTGTGTGATGTACATGTTCTGGAGGGTATGTGTGCGTGTGCCTGAGTGTGTGTACATATGGAGATGCACATGTGTTTCCATGTATAGGTTTGTGTGGGGAGGTCATATGAGTGTGTGCTAGTGGGTGTGTGATGTTTTGGGGAGGTGTGGGGGTCTATGCACAGATGTGTGTGGGTTTGTGAGTGCGCATGCGTGTGCACATATGTGTGGGGGTTCTGTGCGCATACATGCTGTATGAGGAAGTGCCTGCACTGTGTGTGTGCATGTGGGTAGAGGTGTGAGGGAGTATGTGGATTCACGCATAGATCCGTGTGGGTGAGGGTTGGGGTGAGTTCATGTGGAGGCCTATGTGTGTGTAGATGAGGCGGTGTGGAGAGGGCTGATGAATCTGATTTGCTAAGAGGGCTTTAGCTTGGGAATGGGGGTACTGGAAGCCCCACCCTATGTGCTTTGGAATGTTGCCTGCTGGACTGTAGGAAGCAGCTGCAGGGCTGGGTGCTGTGCACAGAGAAGGGGCTCTGTCTAACCCCAGCCTCAGGCACCTGCCCGCAGCCACAGCCACGCTGAGCAGATTAGAGGGTACTAGAGGCCTGTTAGCAGCCAAACCCTCAGACCTGCCCCAGCTCACCCAACACCAGCTTCTCCAAGGACCCAGGATTTCTTGTGGCGTCTCTGCTCAGGGGAGAGTCACACGCTCCTTGTCATCTCCTCGCCACCCCAAGCACTATGAGTTGCAATTTCCAGTTCCCTGGTTTCTTCCCTCTGTCCCCTCTTAGTGCTGACCTGGATGCTGGAGGTGGTAGGAGCTGGGGGCAGTGAGCTGCCTTCCCCTGCTCTGCACCCTTAGGGCTCCCGAGGCCTTGCACAGGCTGCTCCTCATAGGGCTGTGCTGGGGCAGGAATCCTGCAGGCTAAGGTGGTGGCCCAGTGCCACCTGGTGGAGCTGGAGCCCTGGGAGAGGGATGGAGCAGTCACTGCCGAGTCCAGCAGTGCTCTGGGATCAGCAGGGGTGGGTGGAGGGGTAGGTAAGGGCCAGTGTTTCACCTCCATCCTTCACTCCCACTCTGATGTCCTGTGCCTGGGCATCTTCCGCTTTGAACTGTAACCCACACTGATTGTCCCCTCTGTTTTCTTTCACAGAAAGCATTCTGCTCTTTCCAGATCTACACTGTGCCTTGGCAGGGCACAATGACCTTGTCGAAATCCACCTGTCAGGATGCCTAGGAGTCTGTACCAGGCTGGCCTGTGCCTATCACCTCTTACGCACACCTCCCACCCCCTGTATTCCCACCCCTGGACTGGTGGCCCCCGTCCTGGGGAAGGTCTCCCCATGTGCCTGCGCCAGGAGACAGAAAAGGCAGCAGGCGGCCTTTGTTACTCAGCAGGGGGCTCCGCCCTCCCTCCTTCCTTCTTGCTTCTCACAGCCCCGGTGTGCGGTGATACGCCCCCACCTCCTGCAATAAAACAGTAGCATCGGCTCCCTTTTTTGAGTTCTTGGCTGTCTGGGGATGTGCACACAGGCAGGGTTTCCACAGTTCCTTTATGAAGCCTCCTCATCCTGCTGGTGTGGAGATCAGAGGAGTACCTGGGAGCTGACACAGCCACAGCAAGGCTGTCAGGGGAGCTGCTGCTATAGGAGACCTGAGTCTCAGAGCAAGGAGAGAGCAGCCGGGGGCTGGGAACCCAGGCATTCAGCCACAGCAGCCCCTGGTGAGGGGTTCAGGGAGAGCAAGGTGCCCAGGCTGCTGACCCCAGAAGCTGGGCTGGCGCTTTGGTCTGAGCTCCTGGTCAGACCAGGAGGAGGGGGCTGGCTGTGTCCACAGGCAGAGGCCAGGCCTCGGTGGAGCTCGCCAGGCCGTAGGTTCCATCTGTGCTTGCAGAGTTGAGCAGACTCCAGGGACTGAGCTGCTCTCATCATTCCCCTAGACACTAAATAGATAGTGATCGATGTGTGTTTCTTTCCAAGAGACTTAGGCCCCTACATGGAAACAAAGTCCAAAAAGCCTATGTGTGTAACTGAGCGGGAGAAATGTCAACCAGACCAGAGACCGGCAAGATCACCCAGAGAAAGCAGCACCTGCTGTCATCCATACTGGGAGGCTGTGTCCTCAGAGAGTTTTACAGGCTCGTGGCCACCAGCCCTTTCTCTGGACTTGGATTTAAAACAAGTTACGTCCAGCTTCATGGTAGGGATGAAGTTAAAGCACAAATGAGACTGACAATGCAGTGGACTCTTCTTTTTCCAAAGATTAAGAGAGAACATTCCCTTCATGTCAGCATCATCCTATAGAATAGTGGATCTTTGCCACAAGCAGGAGGCTACAGTCCTAGGACACAGCCCACCCTGCATGGTCCTTGCCTTTGCCATTTCAGGACAGGGGTGCAGCCCTCACAGCCAGTGCTGCTAGGGCAGGGCTCCCAGGTACCTTCCAAGCTCCAAGCTGCACTGACGCCCTCTTTTGGCCACTGCCATGAACACTGAAGGTGAAATGATGAAAATCCACCCCAGTAGCCCCAAGGACATGCTGTCCCTGCAAAGCCAGAGCAGGGGACACGGCGGGGAGAGTGGGGAGCATCTGCTTCCATTTCCTCTCCACCCTGACTTGCTTTAACAGGGTATTTGGGGTGAGGAAAGTGTAACAACGCCTAGGAGGCCATAAGCTGAGGAGACATGAGTCTGGCCTCACCCTGCTGGGGGTGGGCGGACTTAGTGACTCAGCTTTCTGTTGGGGATTGGGGGATAGAAGTGGTGGTTGGGGTCAGGGGTAAAGGGTCCCTGCAGGGAGGTGCCCCTGGCTTTCTACCTGGGTAAAGGATCTCCTGTGACACAGACAACGACCATCCAGGCACACAGTGGAAATGAACAGCTGACTGTGTAGCCCAGTCCCTTTTCTGACACACTTCTTCCCTGGGGAAGTTGAGGTGGGGTGGGGGCTGTACACAGGACTCCCCAATCTCCCTGTATGTCTCCTCCCTTCCCTGCCCGCCAGC